TGTTCCTAATAGCTTCTTGTTACTACTAGTAGGGCACTTGTTACTAGTAGCGATGCACTTGTTACTAGTAGCTTATTGTTAGTACTAGAGGAGACCCAAGTCTCTTTGGAATTCTGACACTTCGTTCTTTCAAGGAGTGGACGACCTGGTTGATGAGGCCATGAAGAGGATGTATTGGGTTCTGGATTGCTCTCCGCAAGGGTTCCAAATCTGTAAATCCAATACCCCACACCCGCCGTCGTCGTCTTCTACCAGTTTACACCACTTCACCTTCCTCAACTCACCTCACCGATCACGAGCTCGTGACAGTCCTCTGAGGCCACGCCAGGGATGAGCTCCCAACGGTACATCACCTCGATCCGGACAGCACGAGTCTTTAGTGGAAAAGAGTGCCGAGTTCGGCACGGCACGGTCCCATGAGATCTTGCTTGGGTCACGACCTCCACCTCAACCAGCCTGAAAAACGACCATGTCCGCGGCCTTGCGACGAAAAGGAAAACGAACGTCCCGCCCCCGTGAAGAAAGACAGTGCAAGAATATGACCACGGTCACTCCTTTGGGTGGTGAGGCGCCCCCCGGCTCTGCGTCCTTTGCACTGCCCGGCCACGGGTCCCCAAAGTCGAGTGAAAATGAACAGCTAGCTGTTCATCTTAGGAAGCATGCCCGAACTGTTGACTTCTTGGACCAAAACCTGGAAGATCAATGAGCTTATGGCTCACGAAGCTTGTGCTTTCAAATCCCACGATCGTTTGTTGCCATCGTGATGAGGAGAAGAAAAACTCCTGAAGTCGGGATATCCAGCGACAGATCGAGCCCCGACTTGAAAACCAGGACGATGAATGAACATGAATGAAGAGGCCAACCCTTTTCAATGATTTGGCCCATCGCAATTCAGGAAATGCTCAACGTCCCCCAAAGGAACCCCAAGGGCCCCAAGCTCAAGCTGCTCAAGCATGACACCACTGCGAAACAAACACTTCGCCCCACCACCTTGTTGTAGAGAAGTCGGAAGTGGTGTTGTCGCCGCCAGGGACACCCCTCTCCCGCGGCCCGCCGGTGTGGTCCAGTCATCGCTCCGAGGGGCCGGAATGATCTTGTAAGCGGCCCAAAGGCCAGCGAGGCCACCGAGCACCGGCGCCACCTTGTCCATGTGGGAAGACGGTCGAGCGGCGCGGTGAAGCACCGCGCGGTGCTGGTGAACCTGAAGGCGGAAACCTCAAGCGGTGGCGGCTTCGGCGAACACGAGAAACGGCCGTTCTGGCGCGCTTTCTTGAGCCGGAGACGGCGATGACGGCTCCCTCTACTCACTCTCTCTCTCTCTCTCTGTCTCTCTGAAGTGTGGCGTGACTCCGGCGTGACGCAGTCAAACACATAACCAGGCAACGTAGCAAGCGAAACAGGAAACTGGTCAAAGGACGAGTAGACTGCAAGCCAAGGACCATGAACCAGTGGTTTAAAAAATGAAACAATTGATAGACTGTAGATGGGAGGAGGCTTGTCTATTCATTTTGGGGACCCTGACGCTTGAGAAGGGGGTCCTGGCCAGGAATCTAGTGATTGGCCGACCGAAGACTTCCACCTTCGACATTGAAATCCCGGTCAAAAATTGAGAAATACACCGCATGCCACTTTGATCTTCAGACCATCCTTTTTGTTCGAGCGCAAGAGATCTCGAAAAGGTTTAAAAGCTTGAGGCGGTCGTGCCTCATTTACCAGGACCCCATGTACAACGTGAACATTCGTAACTTGCAACACATCTGATGAGACTCTGAGACTTCAGGGGTCCTGGTACAAATGCCAGTGTTACCAGCCTGACTTTGGGTGCGAGGACGGAGTCCTCTCGTGGATCAGAGCTGCTCGTACTGGCATCTGTTCCAACCTGAGCACGAGAAAGGTGCAGCTATGAAAAATACTTTGCAGCAGCACGCCCAGACTCCCCAGCTCTTCCAGTGGAAATCCCAGTTCCTCCCCTTTCCCCAATTCACCAGCAACTTGACCTCGCCTTCTTTCAGAGCCGACCCAGTGGCCGACCTCGTTCCCACGACAATTACAGTAAACTCCAAACCATCCAGGGCACAGCCGCAGCCGCTGACCTGCTGGCCTCCACGACTGCGCCTGAATGCAGACATGAATGGAAATCGGCCACACTTCTTGACCCACTAAGATACAGTAGCAAGAAGCAGAAAATAGGCCCCCTAAAAGACCGTTTTGCTCTAGGAACAGTGGGTTTTCCATGTCCGTATTTGTAAGTCCATTGTGCTGCTTTCCCAGTGTAAGGAAAAAGACACTACTGCCCCCACGTTCCTGCATGAGCGACCCCGCCTGTGGCTGGCTCACTTCTTGTTCGCAGCTGCAATATCCTTGCACTTCTTCAAGCATGCAGCCGCGTCCAAATCCTCCAAGAGGTCAAACAAGGACTTCTTTCCACCTGGCTCACCGAGTTGGCTTTATAAATTATAAAAGCTCAAACAGTGGAGCAACACCAACTCCCTCGCAGAAGGGATTTTTCTGCACATCTGATCTGCCCACAATGGGCAAATCTCCCGGGGTGTGAACAAAAAAGAACCCCGCCCCCCATCTATCTCTCGCTCTCTCTCTCTCTCTCTCTCTGGGCGTGCTTCCCTTTTACTCCAAGGTACCCTCGAAGTCCACTTGAGGATCGTTGAACCATTCCTTGGTCAACATGGGCAAGGGGATGCCGCTGGCGAGCAGGCCCTTGCCGAAGGCATCCTTTGAAATGGACGCCCGGAGCCAGTTGCAGCGCTCGGCCAGCGCCTCGAAGGGGCTCGCCGAGGCGTGCACGCCGTTGTCGCCGGTGTCCTCGTTGACCGGGCACAAGGGGGCGGGGCCAAGTGCTGATGGAAGAGGCCGGAAAACACCGCGTAAAGCCTTCAAACTTCAAACGGTGAAAGTTCTCAGGCAGCCTTCCGGATTTCTGAGAGGAACATCCAAGCCAAAGGTTGCGAATAAAGTATATTATGAGCATGGTCGGGTTCCAAGTCACTAGGTGCAACTATCTTCTTTTGATCAAATTATATACCTGATGCAACAGCACCTTTGTAGCCAGCTTTCAGAGCGATTTCAATCGATGGCAACTGTTCCGCAAGTATTGGAGGCCGAGGCACGGGCCGCGCCGGCAATCCTGGGTTCTCACATCAAATCTGGTGTAGGTGCAAATGGGTGTTGAGCATGCTGGTTTTTTCGGGTGTTCGCTCGCTCAAGCAACTCCCTCCTATCTTCAAAGTGCAGGTGTAAAGCGGAGAGGTCGCATGCAATTCAACCCCCTGGCCACCTACCCAAACTAGGTTCACGGCTCACGGCCATCTGAGGTTTTCTGGTGGTTCTCTAGGCAATGCACAGAGTATAAGCCCCTGGCTTTGATGCCCAAACATGTACAGTGCAGAAATGGACTGATGGATGCCTCAACCTCACCCCGGAGAGAGCCTTTCGTCACTGCAGGAGTGTCTTGGTTTCAAGCTTGCGGCATGATTGCAAAGATGTGAATGTATTCCAAGACACTTTCGTTGAAACATGGAGCGGCCTCCTTTCTTGATCTTCAACGCAAGCTGCCGTGGAAAAAGTCATACAGTACCTATGCCTTATGCACGACCTCAATCCAGTGCCACATCCAACAAATTCTGAACGCAAAGCATCAAACCATGGACACCTGGCTTTGCGATCCATGCTGATCGAAGGCTGGATTCCCAGCCCTTTTAAAATAGAACCTACCAACCAGGACCTGGCTCACAAGAGAAGCAATAACCCCAAGACCCCCAATACCCTTCCATGCCCCCACTTCCTTTTTGCGACCTCTGCTTCCCTGTGTGGGTGGGTCGTGGCGCAACTCATGAAATGAGACACACACACAAACACACCGGCCGATTCAAGTTTCATGTTGACATTGCTCTCATGCTTTTTAAAACCAAAAACATCAAGCGAAATTGCCACGAATTCCGAATCACTCCGAAACCCGAACTGGCTCGCTGCGAAGGCGAACTGGCCGCGCAGCATGAGAGCCCCGGCCCGAGCACCGTCCAACGCGGCGTCTCCCGCCGTGGTGGCAGTGAACCAATGAACGAAAGACGACGGGCTGCCGCAGGAGGCACCAAGCTGGGCCAACAAAACCCCTCCCAACCGTCCCCAACAACCTCTTGCAGCTCAAAACTCCCAGCTCCGACCACTTGCTGTAGATCATCTGGCGCAGGGAGCCCTCCGGCGCGCTGGCAGGATCTGTGGGGCCCAGCAGCTTTCCACGGAAGTCGGCCCAGGACATCTTCTCTGCCGGCCATTCCACCTCTAACTACAAAAAAAGGCAAGACATGCGACAACACTGGGCATTATATGTTTTTCGAGCACGAGATCCTTCCACTGCGGTCAGGGGTGTCAGGGATTGGCTGGGACCTGGGCGACAGCAAATCCGAGAAAAAAGAATGTGAGCCCCCGCGTGAGAAGCCTAGCGCCCAAAAGTGAACCAAAATTTGGACAGGTCGCAGCATGCTTCAGGGGGGGGCAGAAGCAAACATCACACCAGGAGTTCCAACATAAATGCTATTTATACAGTCTGTGACAGAGTCTGTGAGTGCGTGGATCATGGGCACCCCTTGTCCTCTCATCGAACTTCTGGCAGGAATTCCTTTGCAAAAAAGCACCGCACCAAGGAAGTTCGGGCCTCGTAGTAGTAAATGCTGGTGCCAGGAGCGGTGAACTTCGAGCGCATGTTCATGTAGAAGCCATTGATGACCTTGGGATCGCAATTGATTTCAAACTGATTAGACAAAGCAAAACTTGGCTGGAGTGAGGCTGATCTGTTGTCTGGCTACTGCAAGAACTGCCCATAATTCCAGCAAAGAGCTTATTAGAAACAAGGCGATTTGGATACTACAATAGAACGTAGGATGTACCAAGCGACTTTTCTTGACAATCTCGCTATATTATATGTGTACTGTATATATGATGTGCGTATCTCTCTCTCTCTCTCTCTCTGTACGTCCTTCCAAATAAATTCCCCCAATCCAACAGCGGAATTCCAAGCCAGGACAATCCAAAATCTATTATGAAGCTGCAAGCAGAAGCACCTCTGCCACGTTATATACACAGTTATCCCGAGTTATTAACCTCACAGCCAAGACACATAGATGTCATCCACCTTTCCACAGTAGAAGCCGCCTCCGAACTTGATGATGCCCTCCCCTTTCTTGAGCGCATCGTACTTCTTGCCCAACTCATCGGCCGTGATGCCCAGCTTCTTCGCACCGTCCATGGCGTTGAAGACCAGTCCGTCCTCCATGACTTTGCTCCACTTCACGCCGAACCTGGCGCACTGGTGTTTTTGCGGACAAAGACGCAAACAAATCAACAGACTGAAAGACTGTTCGTGCCCATGCTTCCAACTCAGCTCATGCTCGAGAAACGGTTCCGACCCTCATTCCCTGGGTCGAACTCAACAAAGTGCCCCCTTTTTGCAGCCTCGAAGACTGTCAAAAAACGGAACACTTTCATCCAACCCAAACCAAGAAGCTGCTTCTCGAATTCCTCCTGCGACTTCTCCTGCACGGTCAAGTCCTTGGGCTTCAGCGTCACCGCCTTGGCCGCAATGGCACCGTAGTGGGTGTCGATCAACTTCTTCTTGTCGATGATGGTCGACTTGATTTGGCCCTCCGACTTGATCGTCCTGGGTCGGGAAAAAGAAGGAAGGAAGATCACCTTCCGGGATGATCTCCAGCAGATCAACCAGAAATGTCCAAACATCACCCGAAAGGAAGATCTTCACCACCTTCACCAGCCTTCACCCGTCAACAATCACCCAAGCAAATCCACGAGAAAAATGAAAACATCCACCACCCACATTGAATGTGGCACATTCTTTCCCCAAACTTCGGCATCTCTGCAAGACTCCCACTTGCTCAGGGGCATGGCTTCCCGGGCTTATAACACACAGTTCAGCTTCACCATACCCTGCAGTTCTGAAACCGAGCTTCATGCCCTCAGCGGTTAGCTTCTCTTTCACCATGGTCTTCACCTTCAAAGTCATCTACTTTGGAGTGTCATGGGCACCAGGAATTCAACGAACCCACAAACCCTCTCCTCTTGGAGTGTCAGGGTCTGAAAGAATCAAGTCATCTCATTGCTAGTCCGCTGTCGGGACCCTATCCTCGATGTGCCCTTGGTGCCCTTGGCTGCCCTTCGCCGTTCACGGAACTGTCCCAACGTTCTCAAAAAAAGGCCTTCGGCTGCCAACGTTCGCTGGACGGAAGCTCTCAGCTAAACCGCACAAACACGACCAACCGGTTTCCATGAGCCCCCCCTCTCCGCCTTCTCATACACCGCATGGGGCTTCACGAAGACGAAGGCCGTGTGTGTCTTCCCACCAGCCTCTCCGTGGCTCATCCACACCGGGGCCCGTGACGGCAACGTTACACACCAAAAGAAAATGGCCGGAAGGTTGGAAGAAAAAGAAACACGGATTGAACAACACCAGGAAAAGTTCTTGGATGTTGGTGTTGCTTGGTCACACACCCCCCCAAAAAAAAGAAAAAAGTTTGAAGTTGGTGTTACTTGAGTAAAAAGGAACATCACCAGGGATGTTCCCTTAGGGTCCTTCTGGTGGTAATAAGAAACGCCCTGTCTCATCGTGCCCCATCCCTCACCATGTCTTTCGGCCGAAGATGAATTCAAAAAAAATAGAACACTTTCGGCTCGCACGTTCTTTCACCGCTTACCCTGCACTGCTCGCCTCAATGGTCTCCGCACTGAGGCATTCACCTGTCGTCCTCATGATGATGTTGGTCACCTTGGCACCCGACCGGTCCATGGTCACATATACGTTGGGCCAAGGCTAGCCGGCTAGCCAACGCACTCTCAATGTGATTTGCCTTGTTCTGGAACATTTTGGAACTATGACCTTGAGCTGCTCAGACCCATGACAATGCTTTCACATGACTCGTCATTGAAGAGAAAGTGCGTGTTCCTCCTGTTGACCCCTTCATCCATTCCAAGCCTATGATATCAACTGGTGGCTCGAAACAACTGGTGGCATCCCATGTTTTCCGGTCAAAGGAACATACAAACCAGGTTTGGGGAGTCCTTTCCACATGAGACAGGCCCACATTGAGTCGGATGAGCCCTGGCCCCTCCGTCCAACCAGGCGCCCTGTAGGGGTCGCAGTTGGCTGCAGGCCGTCGGTCCTGGGAACAGTCGAAAAGATAAGCAAGCTGACTTGTGGAGCGGGCGGACAGTTGCGTTTCATCAGCACGTTATCTGTCTATCTGTCTGTCTGTCTATCTATCTATCTATCTCAGTGTGAAATATGTCAAGATAAAGTGTTGATCAAGCGTTGTGTCCATCTATCTGGTTTGTCAGGCTTGTCCCAAAACAGCAGGGACAAGCCTCACTTCCTGAAGAATTTCCCGCCCAACCGGAGCGCTCCTCCATGTATCCACGGCCACTCTTCTCCGCATCCCGCGGAATGCGGATCGAGGCCCCGCGGTTGGCGACGCCATACCTCGCAACCGGACCCTTGGGTCACAGAACAGGCCTGTCCCCCCACCTGGGGGGGGGTCCGTCACGAACGGATGGAGCACACGCTCCACCGCAGATCGATCCAGTTTCAAGTCGCAAGGCTGGAGAAGTTCGATTCCTGCCCTTTCCGACAAGAGGCTGATGAAAGAACAAGAGGGTTTCACGCCCAACAAGCGAGCAGTTTGGGGGGAGCTGAACTGGAAAAGCGATCCCTGTTCTCCAACGACCTGCTACCACCACAGTGTTGAACAAAAAGAAGTCGTTCAAACCAAACCTCGGCCCCCTGTACCTGCCTGTTGTGCAAGCAAAGGAAGCTCCAGCCAGCTTTTCTAGCTTTCATGATGGGATGAGGGAACAATGTGCCCCAGTGGCTTGAGTGAGGTCAATGATTTCTCTAGATTTCATCCTGCCTGCAAATTTGAACCAAGAACGATATGAATGCGAGAAAGGTGCTTGAAAGTGTTGATGTCACAGGTCTCATGCTTGCCAGTGAGACGCTTGTCATTGTCCTCCCCGTACTCGGCAATGTGTTCCTTGGCGACCTTGCCAAATGCTTCGCACACCTTGATGATGGTGTCATAGCCACCCGCAACTCGCATAGGTGTGACAGAGAAGTTGGTGTGGCATCCGGCACCGTTCCAGTCACCCTTTGCTGGCTTGGGCTCAAAAGAGCAAACGCAGTCGTGCTTCTCTGTCACGCGCAGCATGATGTATCGAGCCATCGTCAGGTGATCTCCCATCTCAATGCCACGGCATGGGCCAATCTGGAACTCCCACTGGCCAGGCATCACTTCTGCATTGATGCCTGAGATCTTCACACCTGCCTCCATGCACAACTTGTAGTGCTCATCTGCCACCGGACGGCCGATGGCCACATTGAAGCCAGCACCTGTGTAGTACGGCCCTTGTGGCGCTGGTTCACTGCCATCTGCGTTGAAACCCAAGGGAACTGTGGGCTTCAAGCCAACCTTGCCCGGTTTCATCAGGGTGTACTCCTGCTCGATGCCGAACCAAGGGTCCAAGGAGCGGTACCTGTCCATGATCTCGGCACACGGGGCTCGAGTGTTGTTCTTTGCCGGCTGATCATCCCAGGCGTTCCAAGCATCAGCAAGCACCATCACATTTGGATAGCCACGGAAAGGATCGTTGAAGATCGCCCTTGGCTTCAAAAGTACCTCCGAATTGTGTCCATCTGCCTGTCCAGTGCTGCTGCCATCGTAGTTCCACACTTTCAGGTCGGTCACCTTCAAAGGCCTTCGAAGGCACAACATGTTTTAAATTAGCAATCCCCGCATCCCACTTTGACTGTTGGACTGGAGAAAATATTAGTAGGTCAACTGGCTGATGAAAACGGCACTGAATACATGTCTAGGCCAACTACTGCCATGGACTTGCACCTCTGAGAACCTCAAACCCAGACCTCTGGAATTCTAGGACGAAACCATTGGTTTCACCAAAGGACTGAGGGGCAACAGGTTGGTATGCCTGAAGCGTGTCACTGCACCATCTTTGGAAATGTTCAAGCTACATTATCCTTCACAGGTATGCCCCTGCCTGGCGGTCATGGTCATGGTCTTGGACCGTGTCACGCCATCGGCATCCAACCAAACATACTCGGCCAAAACGCAGCCGCTGAACGAGCGCAACTTGGCCAAAGCTGAGGCACCTCCATCCTTGCCAGTGCGGACCTGCAACCGCCCAAAGATTTCAAACGAGTCGAAATGGTTGATTTCGCGTGCGCAATATTCCTAAATTTGGTTCGTGTTCCCATGCACAAGTTGCGAAATGCTTAGTCCTACCAAGTTTGCACATCTCTTACATCGAGCAAATCATAGCCTTGTTAACATATTGTCACAGTTGCCTGACACTTGAACCCCGAAACATGAACACAACGATTGGTCTAGGAGGAGTTGTTGCCCTGAAAACATCAAAAATCCAGCGGCCAATATGAAAATTCGCATGACGGCAAAACAACTAGACGACGAGTGGCCCGAAAGCATTTTTCATCACGTAGGAAATCAGAGTGCGAGTTATCCGGTAAGTGTGTAGTGAGAAGTGTTAAGCCGAGTGAGTTGAGGTAGTGTGTGGGTTTCTGTGCGTGTGTCTATGTCCGTGTGGAAATGAGTCTGCGTATGTGTGTGTTCGTGGAAGTTGAGGGAGTGTGGGTGTCTGTGTGCGATGCGGCCTCCCAAACCCCCCACCGGCGGCCAAGCGGTGACAGCCCAGCTCATCGTCGTGAGCATTTGGGCTGCTGGTAAGGGGACAATGGCAGCCAGCGTGCTGGCTTACCCACTTCAACTATGATGGTAGCCAACGTGCTGGCTTTCCATCTGGACAATGGCAGCCAGCAAGCTGGCTTCCACTGCCTGTTGTCAGCCAAAGTCTTTGCGTGGCTATCGACACGCACGATCTCCGCAGAGGGTTGCGCGCACAGCCGGCAAATCGCACTCTCGCCTGCATTTCGCGCACTCGACACGCACGATCTCCGCAGAGGGTTGCGCGTACAGCCGGCAAATCGCACTCTCGCCTGCATTTCGCGCACTCGACACGCACGATCTCCGCAGAGGGTTGCGCGCACAGCCGGCAAATCGCACTCTCGCCTGCATTTCGCGCACTCGACACGCGCGATCTCCGCAGAGGGTTGCGCGTACAGCCGGCAAATCGCACTCTCGCCTGCATTTCGCGCACTCGACACGCACGATCTCCGCAGAGGGTTGCGCGCACAGCCGGCAAATCGCACTCTCGCCTGCATTTCGCGCACTCCACACGCACGATCTCCGCAGAGGGTTGCACTTTCGGTTGACGCTGTTCGTCCCACACTCCGCCTTTAAGAGAGAATTTATAAAGTGGGGAAATGTTTTTTCATTAGGACATCTCCCGTGCTAGTTTTCCATATTTTCCATACTCACACTTGCTTGCATACTCACACTTGCATACTTTGACCCTGGCATACTTCGCACTTGGATGCTTTCGCTCTTCCAGTGTGTGTGTGTGTGTCAGTGTGAGTGTCGAAGTGTAAGTGTGTCAGTGTGAGTGTCGAAGTGTAAGTGTCGAAGTGTCAGTGTTCAAAGAATTTTCCGGAAGAACCCTTCGCAATGCTTTCGGGAAAAACAATTCGTTACAGGATTGTGTGAGTTTGATGGTGCACAATAGGCGGGCTTATTCACATACCTACAAGACATGCACGTGTTTCTCAAAAATTGTTCAAGCCTGGGCTCAATGCCTGCCATCATCGAAATGACATGCGCCGGCCCCATTGAACACACACACATATTGGAACCAAGCCTTGTCATCTGTCTTGGTCTCTGGCTTGGTGGGGGCGGCCTTTGCCTTGGGCTTAGGCTTCTCGTCCTTCTTGCCATCCTTCGCCTTTGCCTTGGGGTCCGGCTTGGACTTCGCCTTAGCTGAGGGCTTGGACTCCTTAGCAGGTGCTGCCTTCGACTTCTTAGCCCTTGCTGGCTTGCAAGCCTCCCAATACTCCTCAATTTCGCGCCTCTTGTAGGTCTTCTTGTATGTGGCCACCAGCTCGTTGTACGTGACTGCCTCTCCTGTCGCTGGGTCTACGCGCTTGTCAGACATGCTGAAATGCAGTGACTTCGAAGGACGCAGGAACGAGTCAGAGGGGCGTTTGCACGCTAAGCTGAGCAGGCTCGAGCTTCAAAAGCTAGCACCAAAAACACACTTGGTTGCAAACAACGGACTCCAAACATCTCAAAATATACTCAAAACGTAAAGCAAACAGGACAAAAATCAAAATAGACGGTAGAGCGTTGTTCGCGTGACGTTGCTTTCCATCCGCAAATGATCGAATGTGAGGCCATTGGGAGGAGCTTTTGGAGGACACTCTTGTGGAACCCTTTTGTGGCGCAGTCTTGTGGGACACTCTTGTGGAGCACTCTGAGGGGACACTTGTGAAATAAGACAGTCTTGTGGCACTGTCCTACCTTTGTCTGTGGAACACCTTTGTGGGAGACTTTTGTGGGACATTGTTGTCGGACACGACACTCCTGTGGGCATGTGGGAAATCTCATCGGGGCAAGTGCGTCAAACACCTTTGGCGCGTCTCTGACGCTGCAAAGGGCGGTCCTCCAAATTTTTGAGCGGCCATTTTTGAAACTTTTGTTCTAATAACCCCTGATATACAACCACCAAGCCCGTTGAAAATGTACCTGTGATGTTTCTTCCTGTCCCCTGACCCGCCCCCCTCAAAAACAAGTTCCACATGCAATTGCAAAAACATCCGTTGGTGCAATTCCTACCCCGTCCCCTCCCCAGAAACAACGCACTTCAAGGTCCTTAAAGTAAAGGATCTGCCATGATCTCTACAAACGAACCACGTGTCCAAGGAGCTACCTCAAAACGCACAATTCCACACCATGATCCTGCCAAAAAAATTGTTTGCCCTGTTTGCAAGGTTCCACACAGAGCCCGTGTGCCAGCACATGTGGCGACCAGGTTCCATACAACACGGCTGAGGTTCAAAACATCATGCCGGAAACCACACCATGTCCAAAGTACTGCGCTTGCCACGTCGGTACATCGACATCACAAACTGCCTGGCCCTCCTACACCTGTCACGAGAAGTCGGCCTTAGATTAAACCACCAAAACACAAGGTTTCCTTTGCGCCTGCCTGCCACGAAAAGCGCTCACCAAGTCCAGAATAGGTTTCCGAAGGCACCACATTTAGAGCGCGCCTCCGTCAAGCACCGTCCCGCAGCCAGCTTTTCGCGTGACCCTGCGCAAAGAAATTGCATTTGGAGATCCCAGAACGGAACTTTCCAGCGAACCCGCGCGGCCAAAACGCACAGGCTCACCGTGGGAACCGCTGTGTGGACACACTGTTTGGAAAAAAAAAGTGGGGACACTAGGGGTTTTGGATGGAAGGCTGTAGTGTCAGATTCGTGTGGATGGGTCTGCTGCAAGCATGAAGGCGTGATGTAGCAACGGTTCGTCGCGGGCGCTGTACTTAGTTCGTGAAATTGCGTCGTTTTGTCGCTGTGCCATTGCGATTGGCATGTGTGCGACCCTGGTTGTTGAGGGGCTGGATTTTCGTGGCAGCCGAAGTAATTTGTGGACCTCGAAGTGCAAATTCGGCGCTTTGTGGACCTTGAGGTGCAAATTTCGTGGGAGATCCTGTACTTTGTGGGCCTTGAAGTGCAAATTTCATGCCACAGGTGGGTGAAGTACCTTGCGCACCTCGAGGTGCAGATTTCGTGGCAGGCGATGTACCTTAAAGAGCTTGAAGTGCAAATTTCGTGGCAGGCGCAATTCCTTATGTTTTGGCAACCCTGTCCGACAGGAGCGTCTCCCGCAAGAGTGTCCCACAAGCGCGTGCCACAAAACATCCTTTGGCCGTTTGTGGGGGCATTTGGGTCCGTGGGGTCTTGTTTTACATTGGTTGGGAAATTCATTTTCCCCAAAGCAGCGGCGGTCACTCTATGTACAGCCGGGCATTGCCAGCTCACGGCCGCAGGGGGAGACGACTGGGCGCGGGGGCCCCGGCGAGCGCAAGGACCTTTTCTCTTTCTTTTTTTCCGCACGGGCATCGTCTGTGCTAGGTCCTGCCAGGCTTTGCTGGCCTATGGCCGCAAAGGGAGCCGGCTTGGCGCGGAGGCCCCGGCAAGCGCAAGGACCTCCCCGAGAGGGAGGTCTGCGGAGCCGCTAAGGGCACTATGCCGCGCGCCAGTCGTCCCCAAGCAGCCTGGGGCCCAAGGCGCGCTGGACGGCGACGCCAAGGAGGCCCCACCAGCGGCGGCGCCACCCGCCAGCGGCGGCGGTACGGACCGCGGGAGGCGCGCGCCGGGCGCGAAGGCAGAGGCCGCTGCACCTTGCTTGCGGGCTGCCGCCGCCGCGGCCACGCACCTCCACCGCCATGGGTGGACCTGCCCAACGTGGCATGCCCTTTTCCATGCTCTCCAACCTGATGCGGCCTCCACTGACCAGTCTGGTCCGGGGCTTGGGCCTGGCGGTTGGCAGCGGCAAGCTTCTCTCGTACTTCACCAGTCCTTCAGAGAGAGCGAGCTGCTCCCAGCCCTCAACCCGGCGTCCCGCGCCATGCTCCGGTCACAAGCCGGCCCCCAGGCCGCCGCCTGGCTCACCGCCATCCCCTCGGAGCCTGGGACCACACTGCCGCCTCACTACATGCACCGCGCCCTCCGGCGCCGACTCCGCTTGCCTCTGCTGTTGGCGCGTGCCCGCTGTGGAGGTGACGGCGCTCCCGGCTGTGGGCAGCCGCTGGACCGCTTGGGCGACCACTGCGCAGCTTGCCCCCGCAGCGGCGCCCCGAGCGGGAGTTCGGCGGGGCCGGTGGGGCAGGGTGGCGCGCGCCAGTCGTCCCCCAACAGCGTGGAGCACAAGGCGCGCTGGAGGGCGACGCCAAGAAGGCCCCACCAGCGGCAAAACCCGCCACAACACTTTAAGCAAGGTTTCACCTTCACAACTGTGGACCCGGCACACTAGCCACGGCAAAGCAAATAATTTTGGAATGCGTGCCTTGCTTGCTGTCAACAGGAGGTCTCTCTTGTCATTCTACCCATATTTTGGTGTGGGTGATGCGTTCTGGAACTTGCGTCTGCAACACCAGCAGGCCAGACCAACTCTGTTTGTATGAGTGCGAGGGTGTCACGTCACAATGCATGGATGTCTGCATTGAAAAATGTAATACTGTTTGTGTTCGGTGTTGGTCGCCTGCCACATTGTATGAAAAAAATTGTCATGGATCAAACTCAGCTTTCTGTGTCATAGCAAACTGTACAAATGGCAAGGCGACTCTCTGCATACAGTCTGTTTTTGTAAAATGCGGGGTGGTCCCCAAACAGTGTGTTTTCTCATGCCACTGTGCCTGGGGGTGTCTATGGCGGACCGGCGTCGGTTAGACAGTCAGTTAGACCTCGTCTACGGCGCGTCGCGCTTCGTTCAAGCCCTGCCGCCTTGCTGGGGTTCCCCTGGCTGGCCGGGTCGATATTTTCCGATCATAGATCTGCGCAGGGAAACCCTTTCTTGGAAGGAAAAAACCCTGCACAAGGGCCTGCGTGTGGGACAAAGGTGGAGGAAACCAAACACCCCGCCAGGCCGATAAACCAGCACCAACAAACAGAGTCCTGAGAGGAACCCGCGCCCGCCCACAGCCCAGCATCGTCGGGCTCCACAACAAGGGGCGGAACCAGGGATTCATCCACCCAAGCGGGATTCCAAAAGAAACAGGCTGTCCTTGGCGAACGCCCCCGCCCCCAAGCTCCATTGTTTGACCTTCGATTCCCTTCTGACAACAAAATTAAAACACGGTGCTCAAATCAAAGTCCTGGAGCCAGCTGTTGGTCACAAATGGCTTGGGCGCATATTGACGGCCAAATGGTTCCAAAATTCGGGAACCGACATCGACCACCACCTTGCAGCCGCCACACGGGCATTCCACGCAAACAAGTACGTTTTGTGTGACAAAACGGTTTCGGTGTGCAAGAAGTTTCGCTTCTTCAATGTGGTGGTGGCCACTGTGGCTTGTGGTGGTGCTGGGCCACGAGCGGTGCATATGTCAGACCTTGTCAAGCTAAATATTCACTGTCGGAAACCGGCACATTTCGTGGTAGGGCCACCTGCGGGTTGTTGGCAAGAAGTGCTGAATGCAGCGCGGTGGCCGCCGTATGCACCCACAGCCTGGTTGATCCCGGCCGCCACAGTGGGAATAGCCCGACTTGCCCGGTGGGCCACACGTCGCACTCGCGATAAGCAGGGATAAAGGCAAGGCTCCCACGCGCATTTGTTTTAATACGTGGTCTAGGTTGCCAAATTTAAAAAAAGAACATTCCATTTTCCAACCTTGGCGCGATCTTCTCACGGTAGTCACCTCAATTTGCCTGCCACCTCGTCCAAACCCCTTCCTTCCCCCACAACTTTTAGCCACCTGCCTCTGCGCGCGTCAGGGCGCGTCTGTCCTGTACATAATGTACATACCTTGCGCGGCGCGTGCCACCTCAGCAGCGTGCCGGGGAAAAAGGGAATCCAAGCTGGCTGTTCGGCACGCTGGCTTCTGATTACTGACCACTGGTCTGGAAGCCGCGGTGCCTGGTGCGTTGACACGGATGTTTCATTTCCAACATGCGTTATTCAAAAGGAACCAACTGTGAACTGGAACGCCAAAACCCCGGCAAAAACAGTTTTCTACAACGGCTTTCGGCGAACACAAACCCAAAGGAAATGCTCGACTTGTGGCAGCGTTACGTTTCACACCTGTCAACAATACTTTCAACGCCTTCAACGCCCATATGACTGAAGTTCGCTGGGGTGCCTCCAGCCTGCCAAGCCTACAATGAAGTGTAAACCCCCAACACCCCCTGAGCAGCCAAGCAAGGACCACCCGTCATTGCCAACTTGCACGCACGCGTGCGGCGCGAAAAACTCGTGGCACCCTCGGCGCCGGAAGCGCCACAAGCAGCCCAACCCGAACAGAAAAGAAACCTGCATAGTATATCATAGTATCGCAACACATGGCTTCGTTGAGGCCTGGCACTGCTTTGAAGCGTATGTCGCACTGGATTCCTTCACCAGCACCCGCGCAGACCTTGCCTTTCTTGCCTCTAC